GACTGAAAAACAAAATGTACTTTTTAGTGCATTTATACCAGTGAAATTACCACACTTCCTTGCTAAATCATTTCCAAATTATGATTTGACACATCCTTTGTACATTAAATCACAACAATTCAAGAGTTTCATTATTTTCAAGATTGTCTTTCTTCCAGTTTCGCGTCAAATATTTGTTTTCCTTTTGTAGGATTAAAAATTATAAAAATAATTGAGATTATCAGATGTGGCTTGGATATAAGTTTTTATGTAGATATTATAAAGTTAATTCGGTTCATATTTGGATTAGATATTTAATGGTAAATTGATCGTTGAAGTGTGTGATTTTATTTTTTTCCAAATACACAGACTGATCCTTAAAGTGATAAGAAATGCACACATATTAAAACCTAAAGTTAGTGCCATACAATAGACGATTAAGCAAGTCTCAACATACATCTTATGAATTCTTTGATTTTAAAAGGGATTTTATCATGTAACAACATCGGCCAGAAAACCAGTGGAAATCTGAAAAAATTGGATATGTGTTTTACCTTAGTACGGGGTTCCTAGGCACTGCATACCCATAAATCCATGAAGGATCTAACCCCAAACTCTCAGTCCTTATGATGAACACGTTATAACTCAGCGGCTTATTTGGAATGTAATCGTACACATTATTCGATTTCTGTCGACTCATGAAATAATACGACCACTGACCAAAGCCATTGGCTAACTTTTGTCCTTATCTCTGAATTAGTTAAAACGTGTGCTTGTTAGTACATGGGATAGAATTTTGCAGAAAACTGATGTTTCAAAGTCAAAGGGATCATATCATATATTTTTCGTGTGCATTATGCTGTAAGCCTGTGCTTACACATTTATAGTGCTTCTTATAAATTTTACACCCATTATTCAATTCCGTGTTGAAGTAGTCTATTACAGATACACATTACTGAGTATTCACCGAGCATCCACAAATTCACCATAGTTTTCTTTACGCCTGCATCTATGGACTGGGTTTTGAACTCTTACTTTCAACTTATATCTACTCCATCAAACTAATTTACTGAAAGTTTGTAAAAGTAGATTTTATCAAGACAGGTTGCTTAAAATTGCGCTCTTCAAGTATTGCCTATCAATCAATTCGACATGTCAGTGAGTAATAGCTTTGCAATGTTGAGATAACGGTTTTAAAAGGGCACCACCAAAGCTTTGATACAACCAGTCAGAATGATTTATTTAATGATGATAATTGACCTTGTACGGAATCATGCTACTATAGTAGAGTATATCCATCATATATGGTAAATCAAAACCTTAGTTGAAAGCCCTCTGTCACTTGAAACTTTTGATAAAGAGTGCAACGTCTAGTGTATGAGTTGTACACAAAACAAAACATACACTTCGTATTTTATTTAAGCATGTTCGGCGGACCTCAATTATTTGACCAACCAGGCAATTTAGGTTTATCATCATATTGATAGTGAGTATGATCTAAATAAGCACATATCTCAGTGATTAGTTTATTATAAAAATAAATGAATGGATTCGGACTATTTTCGGACATATGAGGAAAAGACATCGAAAGCTTTTATTATTCGTAAACAGTGAGAAAGTGATTATGCATTTAACTGGTTCACTTCATTTTCAGTTCTTATTTATAAGTGACAGCATATAATAATTAGCATAATAAACCATACTAAATAGAATGACAGAAACCTCAAAAGTCTAAGATACATAATTCAAATAACAATTTAATTTTGGAACAATCAATCCACAGTACCTTTCGTACACTAAGGTTTCATTCTTTTAGGTGCATTATTTGAATGCAGTACACATAATTCGATCATATGACGAAGTCAGAATTATATCCAGCTGAGAAGCGAAGTAATTAAAGTCATTAGAATAAGATCAACCATATTGGATCTGTCTTTTTTAACTACGCCATGTTTTCATAACCCGAGTTGTTAAAAAGCACAACTTGTTTCTCAAATTCAACCAACAACATTATTTCAGTCAATGAAGTTACTATTTAGGTTACTTAGAACACATTATTCAATCAAGAATCACCAGTATCGTTATAATACGTTATATTAGTAGTTAATTAACTGTAAAAACAGGATTACAGGCCAGCAATTTCAGAGGTCGTGTTAGATTCTGAGTGGCTAGTAGCCACTTTTGAGAAGTTCACAATGTATACCATGTTCTTTCTATCACATTGGGAGTGCAAATGAATACTAAAAATGAGTTGTGATGATGAGAATCAAATGTTTTTATCTTCACCTCTGTGAAAAACATCATACTGTGTATGTCTATTAAAACGGTTCTGAGACATGAAGATAGGATAGAAATGAGTGCTATCAAATCAGTTATTCTCTCTTCGTTATGCACTATATTACTAATTTCACTAAGTAGTGCTTCATCTCAGGTTGATATGAAACTGAAGTATTTACTATTTCATATCAAGAAAATTCAAGTTTTATAACTAAATTGCCTAGATGCAGTTTACTCCAGTTCATTCCAAAGGACTACTTTATGTTTCATTGACTGGGAGTCATTTCAGACTAGTATTTCTATAGACTTGATTCTGATCTGATAAGAAATAGTAAAGAACGTTTCTATTCACTTATTTATGGTCACTGTCATACTACAGAGAATGAATACTGGGATTTAGGGGATAATCAAGAAGTGTTTGTTGAGTAATCACACTGATAGCTGTATAAGTTATAGAAAAGTGCATGAATACTTGTTCACCGTTATTGCTATCGTGTTTACGAATTTACTGATGTCTGTGATAGCAAATACACTTCAACAAGTTAACAAATGACCATTAAGTTTTCTAAGCATATATTAAATATTTTACCTCTAAAAATCAGTCTCTATCAAGCATATAGAACATCAGACGACTCGTGTTACAGCCTTCACCTTTGTGGCTCGTAATGGAATGCAGGAGAAGCGTTTCATCTTACTCGAGACTCGTCAGCTGGATGTTCATTCACCCCAGTGAGTTATGTCGCCAATGACACTGAAACCTACTACCTATCGCTTCAAACACCGAAGTGTTATCCACTAGGCCACTAGGGCATGAGAGCCACTACTTGTGCAATGGGTATCGTTTGTTGTTTGTTACTTTTTGTATGCATAGAAAAAACTTTTACCATTTCTCTGCCTATAAGATATGATCACCAAACACTTTGGAAAAACTCTGTGCACAAAAGTGAAGCGAGATCAACACCTCCCCTTTTTGTCTACTACACCTTTGTCTAATAATATTAAAGCTTACTAAATTAGTGTTTTTAATTTCTTGAGTTATCATTATTTTTCTAGTAACCGATTGTTTTAGTTGTTACCTAACCTTTTTACTAGTGTTATTCACCTCCTCCTACCCACTTTCTTGTTTCACTTTACAGCTTATAAATTTCCACTTAGCCATAGGTAAATTAGCAAACGTTTATGAGTAGCATTTAAGCCCTATGTTCCACTAGGAACCCAAGGGACAAATTCAAAAAAAATATGAGTAGCATTCGTGAATTACGTTGTGTCTTCTCCCGAAAGTGTGCATGAAATGGTTTATAATATTTACTGAATAATCATTCGACATTCTGTGTGTAACATCATATTTCATTCTGAATAGTGACAGTCTAGTCTGTTTGAAGTGAATGCTTCAAGTATTATGCATTTTTACTTTTGATTTTCTGAGTATGACCTTTACTGCTAGCTAAAAATTTTATTTGTGAAATGGAAATTGAAGTATAAAATACTTGCAAGTGAAAGACTGCCAATAATAGTTTTGCACTGGTTGCCAAAATGGGAATAATTTGAAACACGTATGAATATCTTATCTTATAAATATGCGTGACAGAAGTAACTAACTTGTACTCTTTTTTCATAGGTGTATGACATTCTAGTGAGGCTGGTATCAGGTATCAGGATAATTCGTTACTCACTATAAGTTATATCATGTTGGGTTGACACATTACTATATATACCATTTTAAGGTATGTATATTACATCACATCCATATATTATGATTATAACTTCATTTCATGTTGACTTAAGCTAACTACATGCACAAAACTCTATGAAAGTTTGAAGATAGTTTTGTGTTGGATACAGATGCAATCATATTTCAGTCAATGCAGTGTGAAAATGATAAATCACTTTGAATAGAAGATGCATTAGTGGCTAAATTGGTATGGTACACATTTCAGTAGGATGCGTTACAGCTATCCTATAATAGTGAGGAAGTCACTAGGACCTTAGGTCACAAGAGTGAATAATGACAGTAATAGTAGTAGAAGTAGAGGTGCGTTAATTAGGACTGAGAATGTACATTAAAGTTTAGTGAGTAAAATTTTCAAAGGTTTAGTGTCAGTCTCTCATAACTAATTAAAAAAATAGAGATTAAGTTGTTTCACCCAGTCCCAAAGTCATCCACCTGCACTTGGAGTAGACATTGAGGCCACAGGTAGACCTTACTGACGAGTACCAACAATCAAGAAACCTATGTTTAAGGCTACCTGACGATTACCTCAAACCAAATAATATCCATCGAAGTACATCGAAGTGGTAAACCTCTTTGCTTGTTCAACACACTGCAAAATGGTTGATAAAACTCAGTCTGATCTCAGGACTAGACGAAATGAGACTTACTTCTCTGGAGTCATCAACCAATGCAAACTTTAGAATTGTGAGCCAAACAGTTCCGCGGAAACTTTGAAAACACACTTATCTTCCATGATAAATAATGCCTTTAGGTTGTATCCATTTGTAATGTCAGCTGTTTCGAATATCTTTTACAGATGGGCTCAATTTATGTTCTCTTTTTGAATAATACTCGTTTTCCTCACTGGCGAAAATCCACTATTAAAAACTGTTTTATTTGATTTCAGCTGTTGTAAATATTTTAATCTCCAGTTGTCTTGGTATGATATCAGAATTTGTAAAGGGACGAAATCAACTCACTGCACACAAACACATCAACTGATTTAAAGCACATCAGCAAAAATAACAGCATAATGAATATCAGTCAACACAGTCTTGAATTAGTAAACCCTTTTGTTTTAAATTTGTTTATCATCAATGAAAGCTTAACATGTAAAGAAATGGAATCACTACCTGTCTCTGGTTTATTCAGCTTTTATCGTGCTATAGGCTTACTGTTAGGTCCATTAAACACTATACTAAATGGCCTATGTGTGCATATTTTCAATCACAGTTTATGGAAGAAATCAGTGATGAGTAAAATATTGAAAGGTCTTTCTATCATTGAAATTGGTATGGGATTCAGTTTGTTCATACATGCATTAATTTTTTCACAAAACTCAGGATCATCAAATTCTTATCAGCCAGTCACAAACACAATAGCAACAGCAAATGCAGAGAATTCCAATGGTACTTTGTTCGCGATAAATGATAGACAGCTCAGTTTTCAGAAAACTTTCGATGAAGAATACCTAGCAGCACATAAAAATGATTACATAAAAACAATATCCTCATTTCTTGTTACAACTATATGTAGTCGATTTTTGGCAATATTCCAAATATCACGTAACTGGTCTGTTGTCTTGTTGGCTGCATATCGTTACGACCAAATTTGTCGACCACTCGGTACAGCAAGCGCGTTTCCACGTGAACGTATACGCTACATCTTATGGATTATATTTTCATTAGCCTCTTTAATTGTCATACCAAGAATATTTGAAAGTGGAATAGTTGTTTGTTATATTACAGGAAGTGTGTCAAAAGATATTCCGCTACTGATTGGTTACAAACTATATCAGATACTCTATTTAGGCTTGGTTATGTTCGTTGTGCAATCTGGTGGTCCAGTAATATGTGTCTGTGTCTTGAGTGCTTTTGTCATAAGAATTATATCGAAACGTAGAAAATTCCATCGTGAAAAAGAAAAACGTTCAGCTAGAAACTTGTTAAGACGTCAAACAATAGAAATGGAAGCTAGTCAGAAAAATTCTAATGCTACTAATAATAACAAAAACAATAATGAGAGCCAAAATGTACAGCAACGTAATTCGAATTGTCTGACAATAGATTTGAGTGAAAGACCGGCTCCTTCTGGTGATAAACTGATGTTTGCTGTGTGTATTACATTCTTTATTTTGGAAACACCAGCATTCTTCAGTAAAATATTGAATCCTTACTTGGAAAAAGATTATCCATTAATCGATTTAACATTATCAGTGATTGCTAATTTACTGATATATTTAGATTCTACATTGAATGCATTTATTTACATGGCGTCAAATCCTCTATTTCGCAAAATTGCTCGAGAAGAATGTTTGCAGTATCGCGATCGACTAGATTGTTTTAAAAAACCTAAACCTGTTCTAATGAATAGAAACAGTCGTCTTTTGGAAAGTGAAGCAATTACAACGACAATGAATTTATGAATATATTTATATGTTTATATTTATGTTTATTTATTGTTAAACATTCATCTGATATGATATAAAATCTTTTGTTATAAAATGTGTTTTTCTTTTAAGCTTGCTCTAGTTGAATGGAATGTGTATCCAGGATAAGACTGCTAGAGTTAAAAGTAGGCTCAGACATTTATTGTAAGGCTTTATCAGTCAGGTGATCATGGAGACAGACCGTACCTATAAACTTAACGATAATAATTTTAAATTTATTCATATTTACCATGTATTATTGAAGTTAATACTTGAACCTAATTTTGATAGTAATTCCTGAAGCCTGTCACTCAACCATTAAGTAGTATGAAAAATAAGACACTGGATGCGTTATTAAATTATTCAAGATTACTCCGAGTACCGTGCGACTGCAAAATGTAATTAGGGGATGCATTTTTAACGATATAACTCTCCGTATGAGAATAAACTTGTGACAATGAAAAATAATTTCATGTTTGACTTCACTGCCCTACATGTCATAGTACTCTGAAATGCTGTTTGAAGCAAACGGTTTATGAGTGTCAGTGTTCGACTAAATCATTCTTTAAGGTTTGTAAATTATATTGCATACTGGTAAAGTTGGTAACTTACTCAACAGTGAATTACAACAGATAAGTGCATTTTCATTTCCAGCAGTTGTCTCATTTTATGGCGTTTTCACTGAAATGTGCCTAATCTATCGGTATTCTTCCCAGGCGGTATTTTTTACAGGTTGTAATCAGCCTCAATAATTCTCTGATTCAACAGTAAACTCTGTTTTATTTTGTTACTTTCAATTACCCATCAGATGAAATAAAAATTTTGTCAGGAGAATCAACAAATCAAAGAGAGATCTGATGACAAAACTGAACTTAAAATAGAGATATCTGATTAAAAATGTGTACAAGTGATAATTTCTTTTATATTTACGTTACCATTTCAACTATTCTAACGAATATAGTAAAGAAAATAAATAGTAAATAAACGTTTCAATTAACCACAATTATTCTAAAATGTTCATTAAAGAAATAAGATAGTTATTTGAAAAGATTTCCAGAAAACTTTGTCGTTATGATAAAAAGACAAAATAGTCCCCCTTAATGCATACACATATTGTAATGAAGCGTAATCAAAGATACGATAATTCCTGCAAGATAACTTGACAAGTGTACAGGAAACATAAATTGATAGACCTGATTAGCATTTAAAGCATACTAATTCGTTGTCAAGCGAAGTAGTATTCCTGTATTGATTGGTCACGGGAATGCAACCAATTTCATGTTGTCTAGTCCAGAGTGCAGACCAAATCCTGTCGATCATATTTGCAATGTGGCAACCAAGCTAGGAAGCTAAGCATTGCGGTGCACATTAGTAGGTGTAAGTTGGTTAGAGGCAGTGGGCAGAAAGCTCTGGACCTAGGTTTCGTGCTTTTTGGCAGTCATCAGCAAGGCGTATCTGCAACCTCGACGGAACCGATGTCCCACCTGAGATTCGAACCCGCGTCACCCACTGTTGTAGTCAGCGACTTTACCACTGAGCTATTCAGGCCGCGATTGACGTCCTGTAGGACTGGTTTACATGTATTGATTGGTTACGAGAGTGCAACAAATTTTATGTTGTCCAGTCCTGAATGGAGACCGAAGTAGTATTCCATTCACTGAATCATATTTGTCTTCGAATACTGAATGTTTGCATCTTTTCATAATTCAACTTGTACTTCAATTGAAAAGTAATTGTAAATCACAATAAAAATGCATAACTAACTTTATTTCGTGATATGGTCTATGGAAATTTGCAACATTCTGTAATAAACTAAAACTGTGGTCGGATTCACCCCTTGATACATGAACAGTCAACATATATAAAGAATTGTAGTGCCTACATTATAAACCTTGGGAATAGCAACATAAACCATTCAAAGCGTGCACTTTTCGTACAAATCTTCGAAGGTCATCCTGGGCGGTTGCTGAAAGCATAATACAAATCAGTCACTAGCTTGATTCTCGAACATTCAGTCAACTTCGACCATGCACCTCTACTGCAGTCCCATTTGAATGTTATTCATAAAGTCAAAGAGAGTGGTTCAAATACTGCGCTTCCGAAGCTTGTGCACCGTAGGAGTCCTGGTTATTCACTAATTATAAACTCCTTCAAATTTTAAATCCTTTCCTCGGTATGGTTCCAACCTTTTATTTGGTTATCTTTACTATGCTCACCTTCATTATGAGCGTTGTTTCCATCTACGCCGTTTTCACATCTACTAAGTGGACACTCACCTATTTGATCCCATGACAACTAATATTATTCACCTCGTCAAATTCTTTACATTTTTGTTTTTAGTATCGTTTTAGGGACTATTATGAGGATTCGCTCCTTCTCCATAAGTCACTGTTATTCTAGTCTCGAACAAAAACCCCATGAAATAACTCAAACCTTTTATTCACTAAGAGGATTCTGTGTTTTTGATGAATATAAGTACAACTGTACAGTGTAAGAAGATGAAGCATTTGAAACCGAAACGTTACTTTGCTGAATAGCGTCTTTCTTACTGACAACCACTGATATTCTCTGTATAAAAACAATGATTGAGGGTTATTAGAGTAAGAAGTATGAGTGCTGCTTACGGCACTGTTTTATAAACCATTATGGAGCTATTTAAAGTAATATGCAACAGCTACCATGTCTATTATTATAACTTAATGAGTAAGTTTCAAACTTGTACCAAAACAAGTAATTCATCAAGTGCAGTTTAACATTATTCAGCTACAAGTGTAGTTAGTCTTGATAAGATTTCATCTGCTCACCGTTACTATCTTAATAACCGCGTGAAGAAGCTTTTATCCTGCCTGATTGTAGCAGAGAACTCCTCGATAAAACTGTCTGCGCAGTGTGGAACAGATGAAGTAGTTAACACTGCGGGTGACGGGTAGTATTCGGTTCAAATCAACGTGCCTTATTGTTGAATTCAGAGCCTGTGAACCCATTTAATTAACAAAACTCCAAGAAAACCAGTTTAAATACTGTGATATGCAGCTTCTTATCAGTAGAATAGTTTGAAGTTGATGCCTTTGAGCACTTTTTCAGTTGTTCAATGCATCAGTATTTTTTCATGTTCGAAAACTACTACTTTTATGGCCTTTAGAAGTAAATTTCTATTAGTCTTGAGTTTTATTGTAAACTGAGAAGCAGTAAGTCATGTGAATACTTTTTTGGAAAGTTAAAAACCATATTTTATTATTCAAACTCTTGTATAAATAAGAAAAGCAAAATTCTGCCGGAAACGTCATTCAGTAAATTATGCTGTTTCACTGTGTATCATATCAAATTAACAATCTAATATTGAATATTAACCTTAGCTTTAAAGACTCTATTAAGACTAAGGCTACTTAGAATTTTGCCATTGACAGATTGATCAAGAAAATAGGTAATCTTTAGGATTATGAAAATAGATTTTAGGTATGCCATAAGTGATGAATTCATTCCTCTATCGCCTTCAAAAGACCCTAGGTCCTTTTTGAAGGCATTGCTAAAACAGTAGGAAATTCTGTCTTCCAGTCACTGGTTACAACTGATCAGTTGTTTAAGTGACATTCTATTTTACATCAGTGATAATTTTGTTCTACGAAATTTAAGATCCATGTAGTGAAAACTGGAGTGTAGCAGACTGTTAATTTCAGTTTTCCAATTAATTAGTTATAGACTGCGGCATTCATTCACAATGACTATTCTGTAGTTGCGACAGTTCCAGTCACTCCACATAAAGATTACAATAATTATTCTTTCAGGTTTACTGTGAAAGTTCTGAAACCTAAAATTACACAATACAAAGATATAAATCCACAAGTTTTCTCATGTGTAACATCTAGGCTACAGACAGCATAACAGTCTGGTTTTTCCTCTGTAGATGCTTGTATACAACAATCAGACCCTTATTCGTTGAAATATGCCTTCTAGTACAAACATATCTTACTGGCGATAGAAAGAGAAAACGAACGAATAGCTTACGATAGGTGCAAACAAAAAGCTGGAACACTATTCTTTCTTTTCTCGGAGTTGTTTCTATAAACTTTGTGGGTTAAAGCAAAGTAAAGCTTAAGCATTACTGACTTATTGGTTCAGTTTTCGACTTTTCGTACAAAACAATACATCGATTTTTTTAATTTTGCTGCAGCCTCAATTATTTGGTTAAAATGACCAATTATCTTTCTGTTATTGCTTCACCACTATGGCTTTCGGTACAGTACATCAACCTACATATCCCTTGTGTACATTGTTTCGTGGATACTTAAGTAGTATACTTTCCAGATCAATCTAACCCTTTCCTATGTTTGAACATTCTGTTACTTTATCACCTTATTGCTTATTGCAGACCCTCCTTGAATAGTAAGACTGCTACTTTTTTCTTCACTAACAGCTTTGTGTTAGAAAAGTTAGAAAGTTGAAAAGTTGTTTTCACGTGTTTACTTTATAACACCAGAGCATACCGACTACTGATCACAAGTGAATATTTCATCCGAAAGTTCTTGAGCGTATACGACTGAAACACTACTTTGAAGACTATTTGAATGATAAAGTTAAATTTCTGTCAAGTATTTAGCGCAATATTTCTTTGTCCTTATCAACTGGTGTGTACTATTTTCCACAAAACTGCACAAGTTCATGAATTCAGTTTGTAGTTCACTAACTGAACGAGAAGAATAGACAGTAATATAAATGTTGAATGGTTTTAATGATTTTGAAGGGCTTATAAAAGCTAAGATACAATCGTTAATACATGAGTTCAAGTAATTCCTACATAAAGAGGATTTTAACAGCATTAACCACCAATCTGTTGTATGAACTTGCTTGTAGTTTTTTAACATCTACTGCTTCAGCAAAATAAAAGACAAAATAAACATAAACTGGAGAAAAATAATGCAGCTGTTTGAGGTAATGGCTATGAAGTTAAACAAACATGAGAAGCTCGTTGATGAACATCGGTATGTGATTCAAGATTT